TCTATCTTCACCAAAAAGGTCGCGGCCATCGCAGTGGGGGCAAAGGGTGGGGGTGTTGTGATGCAGGGTTGGCGACGCCGCAAATGGGGGAGAGCAGCAGCGCAAGGGCAGGTGTGCATGCCGAGCGGGTTTGAAGCAAGGAGGTGACACAAGCGTGTTTTCTTGAGATGGCACGTTTGTGCAGAAACGCACACCCACCAGGCTGCACCTCTACAGGTAGGAACGTTTGGCACAGGCAGCACTGGGGAAGGTGCAATGGAGTGCTGGGGGCGGGCAACGAGATGACAGATGCGTGATTCGCAGCAGCATGATGTGATGAGCGATTGTTTAAAGTTCAGGCGCGAGCAAAAGCCTTGGCAGCCACCTTGCCAGGCGTGCGCTGTCAACCAAAAAGTGCGGCTGCAGCAGCTTCGAGCCAGGCAACACACCGACATCCCCGGCATCCCCAGCACAGGAATGGCTTCTCGCGGCGCCCGGCAGGTCCATCCTCCACCTCGCCGCGCCTCACTGCTGCTGGCCGCCGCCAATGCCGGTGCTGGCCGCGGCGGCGGCGGTGGCGGGCGGCTCGTGCTCCCAGCGGCCACTGGCATTCAGCCGGCACCCCCTCATGCGGGCGTACCTCCACCAGTTTGCTGGGAGCGCCTTGTCAGCGAGAATGTCATCCCCCTTGTTGATTAGGAGGGGGTTACGGCTGGTCGCGCCGTCCGCCGTGCCGAGCTTGGAGAGCAGGTAAAGGTACACCTGGGCAGCGCCCAAGATGGTCGGTTGTGGGGAGGGAGCATGCGGGACGGGGGTGAAGGGGTTGGCGATTTGGGTATTTACATGTGAAGATGACGGAAAGCAGAAGGTCACGGGCAAGGGGGGGGGGAGGGTGAGAGGGGAGGAGGGGCCGAATGGGGAGACGAGAGGGGGCAAGGGGGGACAAGAGCATGTACATCACACAACAACTGGCATCATCGAAGCCGATTGCACGCCAAGGTGGCTTGTCCGTGAGCAAACACACACAACGACGCCGTGCTCACTTGCCGTTGCGTCTGCATCTGCGGCCCCTCCCCCCAACTCCACTCGTCCCACGCTCGCCCGACTGGGCGTGCGACACCCCCCCCCCCCCCC